CCATCCACATTGTATCCCATTCTCTGGGGCTCTGTGTTGGACTGGTCATAACCGCTGGTGTGAAAATGCACCGCTTCCCTTTATTCCCTACTATCGTCCCTCAAGTTGACACCCCCATATAATCTTAGGGTACTAGGATCTTAATGTTTGAGTTGGCTGGTATCCCCACTGATCAAACATGCCACCCGTGACCTCACATTAAGACACATACGAAAAATACACACAAGCACACACAATGGTAACGTATATCTGACCCACTTATATCTTTAACCTTTCATTTCCCATCCCACATCCCATAGGTGGACCCTCCCCCAGGTAAATTTTTGGCCTATTCTAGGTTTGACTTCCTTTACTTCAATCGCCTTTTCTTGACTTCCCTTTGTACCTCACGAGGTGCGTCTTAGTGCTGCCTATCTTTGTTATTGAACATTTGCCCTAGCTCCAAGTGTCTTTTTGTTGTCCTCGCAGAATCTCCACGTCTGCCTATGAAGCTCGCAAAATTATCGCTGACTCTTCCTTTATCCAATCTCCGGTTGATCAGGCTTGTTTGAAACAGGTTATCCAAAGCCTCCATAATCTTTCGTTTTCTGGTCTTTTGCCCAAATGAGGCGAAGCTTTTCGTTGCACTCCAATAAATTGTGTGGCTGATAAGGGCAATGTGATCAGGCATCTCCGATCTTTTCGTATCCATTTGTTCTGTATAGTTGCTGGTGTTCAATGATTCTTGTGCTGATTGTCCTTCCCGTCTCTCCGACCTATTTTTGTTTATAACCCTTACGTTTTATGCTGTTAACTCCGAAGCACTCCATTTTTTTGACTTCTTCAGATTGGCTAGGCAAACTGTTGAAGAGGACCGTTCTTTCCTTAAGTATTGTATGAATGTTCCATTTTCATAGTATCGATCTCAGCGTCCGAGCCAATTCGCAGCAGGGTACACATATCCATCGTTTTCACTCTATTCCTCCTGCTTTCATTTCATAATCTCCCTCCTTCCATATGCACATCACCATCCATATGTTGAGTTGTATTGTTTCTTCTGGATATCTGTTTCCAAGACAAATCCGAGTAAGTTTTTCCATTTTTTTCCCAGAGCTTAAAATCATTGAGTCGTAGGCTTCTTATAACCATACTCCGGAATATTCCATTTTTATTCTATAAAAATGGCGGATAAATTTCGCCAATTAATGTATTGGTCCGTGTTTGTTATTCACTATCAGTTTCAAAGGTTCTCCTTCTTTGTGTGCTTTCGGTAAGCCGTATGATACTGGGGCTCTTATATTCCTCCGTAGAAATGAATTCATTGTCTATTTGTCGATTTATCTGTTTATATTAATTTTCTTTAGCATTTCTTGCAGAACCCCTTTGATTTTAACTGTTGGGTCTTTGGTTAGTAGTCGATAAGTTGTAGTGTCCCCGAGAATATTTTTAATTTTCTCTATATATTCTTTTCTGTCCATCACCACTGATGCACCTCCTTTGCCAACTTGTACGACTATTTGATCGTTTTTCTCAATTCTTTATATATCTTGGTTATAGTGTTCCTATCCGTGGGTTTTTGATGAGCCAAGATTGTTGGGATGCTTCTGCAGGTAGCTTCTCAAAGGTACTTAACACTTCCACTAACGGTTAAATAGAAAATTGATCAAGGGGATTATCTTCATTTTTACTTTGATAAGTTGTAAGTCTGTGTTAAAAATGACACCTCTCAGTGGGGATGCCAGTAAATTGCTTGGGACTGTATCAAATCAATGGTCCGGTGCTGGAAATCACGAACAATATTACAGAGGGTAAGGGATTAGGTACGTTCCACAAGGTCTGTCTGACGCTCCGACCTAGTGGCAGAAAAGAGGTCGAACTAACATTGTAAAGCTAAGGGAGACTGCGACCAAACAGAATGCCACACCATCTTCATCTCTACGAAAAATACGTTATGCTTAAATCATTCAGAATCTGGTCGTTTCAGCTAATACTGCTAAGACTAACAAACTGATGCCTGGAATAGCCACTCTGTACTTAATTTAAAATCCATTATAGGTCAGAATATTTCATAAAACATACTAAAAAGATTTTGCTTTATCAAGGGATAAATATTATTAAAACAGGCAATTCGCGTGAGAAGGATAGACGAAACAATTTAGATGAGAAATCCTCAACAATCTATGGAGAAAATAATGAAGTCAGGAGAATTCTTTGAGTAAGTGTCACTACTGTCATTGTTATAATACATGTCAAGGTGTAATATGGCCAGTCAAGAATAATTTTATTATGTAGATTTACGAAAAAAAAGATAACGACGCCCACATACCAATTGGGCAAAATTAAATTTTCCTTCCAAAGTGCCTAAGTAATCGATTCCATTTTTAAAAAACCAAATAGGTGAGCCATGCTAGAAGTTAACTAAATTTGTGTAAGAAAGCATCGTGTAAAATTGTACCCATGGGAATAATAATAGTGGATAAAATAGAGGTTCAAACATACAAAAATGGGAAAACTATCACTTGACAAAAACGACACATGGTCCGAATAGGGCTTAAAGAAATCACATTTTGAGGAAGGAACAACATCTTACAGTGTTGGTACCAGTCCGATACATGTCACAGGAAACCTCTGTTGCAGAAGCGGAGTCATGAATTTGGTAAGAACCGTTAACATTAAATGAATCGGCCGCACCACTGAGGTGTCCCATAGATAGTGCTTTATCCACACTTGATTTGTATGACCCAATGGCCACAGATGGTGAGGAAAGGTCAACAGGCTGGATAGGTCGGCCGGAAGAGGTGACATCAAAATGGCTAGAAGAATGATAGGTCTTCGCTGACTGATCAGATGGTATCTGATGCCCGGTGGATGAGACGGAGATAGAGCCATCAATGCTGGACCAGGAGCCGTCTTCGTGAAATACGACCTCGGTCAGCTCGCTGGCGGCAGGATTGTTGAGAATCTCGAGCATTAAACTGTGAACACAAAGAAGGAGTTCATAATGTAGTAAAAAAAGAAAATAGTATCCATTAGTTATAAGTCATTAATTTCAGGAAAAAAGGTACCTTCTAGTTGCAAGTAAGGAATAATTGAATCTAAGCACAATAATTCTGTTGAAAAATAAGGGATTTAAGTTGGAGATGTCATAACCTATGCGATATCGAATGGTTGAATCAAAACCCAAATTTTAAGCTTATATATATATATATGCTTAGAAGAAGATAGGCTCATTCAAATTGATAAGAGGAGAATATCCTCAGATTTCGACAAAGTATAAGAATAGTGTAGTGTATTGCAAATATTCTGTGCATCTTGAACCAGTGAATATGACTCCAATAAAAGGTCACATAGATAATCATAAAACCAACTCTTTAAACGAGAGATAAGTTTAGTTGTCATTGGAAGGATAAGAAAGCTTGCTAAGCGAACAGGATTAATATAGAAGTACTGGAGGCAAGAAATTTGTTTTGATAGGCAGGCGATATTGAACAGGGTTTTTTTTCATAGGCTTTTAAGAACCTTTGGAAACAATCGTGAGGGAAAATTAAAGACTAAGATTACACATTCAGATTTGAGCTAACTGAACGCATACAATTACTAGATCCATCCTTGTTTTTGTGTCTGCAACCGTAATGAACAGAAAATTAGCAATAAGTTAAATGCAGTCTTGCGGAACTTTCACTTATGATTATTGACTTGGTACGTTATGAAACGTTTCGCCGGCGTCGTCAGTAAGAGGCGCCATCGTGTGCACAGAGTTATAACTTATCACTTGGACTTATTATGGACTTGTTACTGATAAATTGTGCTAACGATAACATCTCTCGCATATGATGCCGACTACGGCGAAACGTATGAGAATGTACTAAGTCAATGGTCCTAAGATAGAAATCACGAATACTATGACAGAGAACACAGAACTGGGTACGTTCTACAAGATCTAGTTGACGCTGCGACCAAGTTGTGAAAAAAGGTCAAATCAACACTATCCTATTAAAGCTAAATTTAATATGAATGGAGATTAAGATTATTTTTATTAGATGGTAGAAATATGTAAACTTACAAATTCAAATATCTTGCCTCAATAGATTTAGAAGAATATACTCCACATTACGTCACAATTTATCGTTGCCAATTCCTGTTAAACCATAAAGGCATTGAAGGAGTACACTCCTAAACTAACGGCAATGTCATCCTAGTCTTCAGAAATATTTAGTACATAATCCATATATCCAGAAAGACTGTATACTCAGAAAGAAGAGGCTAAATATCCTATCTTATCCATGCATGTTTATAATCAAAGGCCCTGTTAAGTAATCATCACTTAACTAAATGTTGAGTACACCATTAAAAACGTGGCCAGATAAAGAAAGAGCATTCGTTAAGATTTGTGGTGCACGATAGCATGTAAACCAAGTACGAATATTGAAAGCCGTTGCAAGATCAATGTACCCGGATCCGATAACCTGAATATCATGATTCAAGGCAGAATTCAGCACAGACCAAATAAAGACTGTCGAGATAGTTATTTATCTCCAATTTAAGTAAACTGAAAAATTAAAAAACCAAAGTCATCTTTCAAAATAAAGACCCCGATAAGCCCAGCATCGACGACCAATAGCCAATGAGTTCAAAAGCATTTTCAAATGGTCTAGGACTCAGATTACAGATGCAATTTGAAATCATATGAACCGAGTAAAATCATTAAAATCAGAATGAGAATAGCGAAGAGTTAGAATATATCTCAATAATTGTTAACGGAAAGTGTGCAAAATGACATTACCTAAGGCTTGATGGAATTTCAAGAAGTTTATGTTGCTGAGAAGAAACTCTTATTGTCCATTTGGAGTCCTTATTTAGTCAATACTGATGTTATAATTTAATGCCAGTCTAAGATAATGCTGCTGAAGTACCTTTAATATTTAAATAGATTGACCTCGTTGTCACAACTTGGTCTTGTTGTCAGGGCAAATTAGTAGAACGCCCCTGCCATACTAGCTGTCATTATTCCCAGCATCAGATGGTGGATTTAGTACATTCTCAAACATTTCGCTGGCATCATCAGTGAGTTTTGCCATTCTCTGCACCAAGCTACGAACGCGTCAGAGACAAGTGAAGTCAATTCCTCGACAAACGCTCTGGCGAAAGCGGTTAACCTTGCCTATCTATCTACTCTTTACCCTCTTAACCAACTCCCGCCTTATCACAACTTCTCAATTGTCACAAAAAGGCACACATTTTGACGAGTGAAATGTAAACAAGTGAGGATTTGTGACGGGGCGGGAGTTAAATGAGAGGGTAAAGAGTAGATAGATAGGCTAGGACAGAAAGAGGAGTGATAGTGTAACCGTTTTCGGCAGAACGTTTGTCGAGTAAAAAGTAGATAGATAGGCCAGGACAGAAAGAGGAGTGATAGTGTAACCGTTTTCGGCAGAACGTTTGTCGAGGATTGGCTTGTCTCTTTGACGAGTTCTTAGCTTGGTCCAGAGAATGACAAAACTCACTGATGATGCCGGCGAAACGTTTGAGAATGCACCAAGTCCACTGTCTGATGATAACTACTTTTGCAGACGACCTCGGACTAGGTGTGTTCTACAAAGTCGTCCTTACAACAAGACCAAGTTGCGAAAACGAGGTCAACTGAAAAGAGACTGCAACCATACCAGAGGCCACAACATCTTGGTCTTCATATCTATCTTTAATATCGTTTGAAGGAGCAAGTGGAATGGATTCGCATGTTGGCCTCACCGGAAGCTGTGGGGGAATTTCCCTAGAGCCATGATCGTAGATGTGTGTGAATAGGTCCTCGATGCAGCGCCCTGCGACCCCGATGAATCCTTACTGAGCTTTCGTCCATCATGTGACAGACACTCGCCTTTTCAAACGAAATTAAAGACTCTTCCATATCAAGCTATTAAGGAATTCTTCCAAACCAAATTTTGCTACATAACCAATTCCTGTCTTCATGATCGGGCAGTATGGGCATCGCTAAGACTAGACTTCAGCTTAAGAAAAGGTGTATAGATCAAGTTTATCAGACTAATATGCGCAAGACGACCTTTAGAGATATACAGGTATGCTTATGAAGGGATAAGCATTATGTGATTATTAAGCAGCGATATTACTGTGAAGGACAAAAAGTCTTCAAGTCTTCTCTCAGTGATATCTGGGAAAAGATTTTACAGAGTTAGGATCCATTATTGTCGTTTTGTTGTGAAAAAGCGGTTTCAATAATCAGTAAGAGGACGTAATGGATTGTCAAGAATTCCTAAGACACATTTCAAACTTATTAAGGCAT